CCTCGTGTGTTTCGTGCTTTCCCTAGGCCTCCAATGGTGTCAAAAGTCCCAGAACCGTGTTCCTTATGTTCCTTATATGCTGTAGGGTAAATATGGCTTGAAAAAGGGACAAAATTGCGTAGGAATCCTAATTCCCGCTGGATTGTCTGCGTGTCATACGAGTCGTGTCACATGCCACACGAGTCGTGTGACTTTTCTCGAACTTTCGGCCAACTCCCAGACTCACACGACTGGTCACACGACCGGGTCACACGACCCGTGTGAGGTCACACGACTCGTGTCACTTGCCACACGAGTCGTGTGACAAAGCCGAGGCAAAATTCCATATGATCTCGATTTTTCTCACCTCACACGACTCGTGTCACATACAACACGAGTCGTGTGACCCTGACTGCACCTTGTTTTTGCCTTTTTTCGTCATGATTCCATCTTTAACGCTTTTTCGGGCATGTTTTCTACAAAACCAACGACAAATATACCTCTATCATAGATTAATAAATCAAACGAAATGGTGCGCAATTCCACAATAAACACGGTCAAACATCACACTATATCACTCATAATGCATGAAAATATGATGAACATCAAGGTCGGAAAAAGAGAGGACCAAGGCTGGTCTGCAGCCACAAACAACCTCGAAAGCCCGCAGCGACTGTCGGGTGCCACGCCTAGAGACCCCTGCCTTCGAGCTCCGTCCGCCATGGCGCTCATGAGCGGGACCACGTACGGGGAGGGATAGGCGAAATGACCACCGCGCCAGCGCCGAAGAACCTAAGGCGAGCCCAATGCTTACCGAAATCGCAAGAAACTGAGGCCGCCGGAGGGGACGCACCGCAATGAAGGTTGGGCGAGGGTTGGTGTTTTACGATTGGGGGAAAGTTCGAAGAGAGATAGAGGGTTTGTATAAAATTTCAATACCTCACAGAGTTTTTTTCACCTCACATTCACTCGCATACAACATAACATGTTTATTTTTTGGTAAAAAAAAAAGGGTTATTTTTAATTAGGAAAAGATTAAGAGCTATAGATTCGGAGAATGGGGGCGGTCTCATAAAGGTGAATTGCATCATAAGAAGGCAAACCTAGTTACACCATAGTGATGTTTCATCTCAAAATCAATTACTGATGAGAAGAGTAACTCATTAAACTTATAAATTGGACAATTTTTTCCTATAGACAACTCACAAGTAATATTTCAACACGCACCATCACTTGTGAATCATTCTCTAGCTTGCTCGGATACCATATTAGAGTTATAGATTCGGAGGAACGTGTGTGGTTCCATAGAAGTGCGCACATCACGCTCAATTAATAGAGAGACTAGTCATCAAAGGTCCTAAATCAGACTCGGTTAGAAGAGTGAGTCATCGCAGATCCTAGATCAAGCTTGCTCTAATACCATATTAGAGTTATAGTTTTGGAAGAGCGAGTACGGTCCCATAGAGGTGAAGTGCACATCACACTCGATTAGTAGAAAGAGTCATCACAAGTCCTAGATCAGACTCTGCTCTGATAGTATATTAGAGTTATAGATTCGGGGAATGGGTCTGATCTCATAGAGGTAAAGCGCACACCATATGATGAGGGTGAGCCTAAGTGCACCATAGTGAAGTTTCATCCAAAAATCAATTAGTGATGGAAGGAATAACTCACGAAACTTATAAACTAGCCAAGTTTTCTTATAGAATCAATTTGTGACAATTCATAAGTGATATTCCAACAAAGATTGATATATATTAAGTATGCACGAGTTTTTCCACCACACATTCTCACGTACGGTGGGATCAAATTTCCAAA